AAAGAGAGGGCTGATGAAGTCTATCACTAATGTCGTAGGGACCAAGGTATGGATGGAGAAATGGATGGTTGATGCGCATCCAAGGAGACCAAAGAATAGACAAAGCTTGATTGACTTGGAATTGGAGGTGTCTGAGCTAATTACACCAGAGAATAAATGGAAAGCTAATGTGATTCAAGAGCTATTTCCAGCTGATGATGTAGCCAAGATCTTAGAATTGCCGATTGGTGGGGTAACCGATAAACATATATGGGCGTACACGGATCACGGTTCATATTCAGTCAAAAGCGATTATTGGTTTGCTGCAAACCATCTTGTAATACTTGTATCATCTCCAAATCTGATGACACAAACCTGCATATGGTTAAAACAAAGATTCTGGCAAATCAGAGCTCCTCCAAAAATTCGTATGTTTCTATGGAGAGTTGTCGCATGAGCACTTGCCGTGACTAAGCGTTTAACCTCTAGAGGTCTTAATGTGAATCCTATATGTAGATTGTGTGATCGCGATACAAAGTCAATGAACCATGTTTTATTTGGATGCTCAAGAGAATTGGTGACTACAACAGTCAACATTCCGGTATCGGGATTTGGAGATTTGTTGGAGCATAATATGGAGAGTGTTTTTAATCTGATGGAAACAAAGGGGAAAAGTGATCAGATCAAAGAGACAATCCCATGGTTATTATGACATATTTAGAAGAATAGGAATTCCATTCTCATCGCAGAAAATCAAAACTCTCTCCATTCCGTGGTTAATGGAGCTTTTGAAGAAGCTAAGTGTTGGTTAGAGGTTAATAAGGGAGAGGAAGGCAGGCTTGGTATTAATGTGAGTGTTCGAGACCGTAATTAAGATGGCAAAAACCATTACAAAACACTGTCAAGTGTAATGTTAATGGTAATTGGAGAAACACTCATCTACATTGTGGTGGATCTTGGATTGCAAGAGACCACTCTGGTTCTGTTTTGTATCATTCTAGGGAAGTTTTCACAAGATCACGAAATCGGATCACTGTGGAGTTAAGGTGCTTGATTTGGGCTCTCTAAAGTCTTCAAAACCTACAACTTAAGGATGTGATAATAGTTTCAGATTGTATATGAGGCGGTGATGAAACCCACTGACTGGCCTAGATACAGAGTTTTCACCAAACACATACTTCAACTTCAGGCATGTTTTAATAGCTACTATTTCGAACTGGAGTCTGAAAGGGCAAATGTGGTTGCACGGTAGCAAAAACTCAAAGTGTGACACGAGATGGAAGATTTCACTCTTATCTTGCTGCAGGAGGTCCGTGATGGTTGCAAGAATTGCTTATTCATGAAGCAAGATGGTAGCATCATATTTTCCTTGTCATTGGAAATCGATGCTATATGTTCTCTTTCATATTATTAGGTTGTGTTGATTCTTGTGTAATGGTTATGTACTCCTCATGTTACAAGTAATACAACTCCAAACGATTAAAAAAAAAGAATTTTTATTACAATACACTAGAATCATGTAAACACTCATTTAAAATCAAATCACTTTAAATTTTCATAAATAGTAATATTAGATTGAATTCATACCATAAGAATCCGAATGGGAAAAGCCTATCAGGCGGTGTAGATCAGCCGGATCGAGCGGAACAAATGTGTATTGAATGAATCAAGCGGTACAAATACAGATCAAGCGGATCTAATGATCCAAAACCTATGTTTGAATAGTGAAAATGGATAAAAAACGGTTCA